ATCATCCAGTGGGGCATAGCTACATGGTCTCCAACAAGGTACAGATGTCAGCCCGGTGGTAGAAGGTAAGGGACTCATGCAGATTTGTGCCTTCTTCAAGTGCTGCCTGAGCCCTAGTGGCTGCTCCAGATTTCTGCTGTAACTCTATTCTCTACAGCTCTCTTTTCTCCTTAGTAGTTAGTCCCCTCTTATAATTAACAGTTCTTTATATTCAAATTCCCTTCTCCAAAGAACTGTGTAGTTTCCATATCCTGAGTGCACTCTGGCTGACACGTGGATATACATCTGACACTCCCACCAACAGTGTACAGGAGTTCTGGTTCCTCCACAGTCAGTTATTTTCAAGTTCTCTCTACTGACTCCAGTATCTCAATGATCTGTGTGTCTGCTATTTTTTCCTCTTGCTTTTCAATTATATGTTCATGCCTCTTCACAGGACTAGTTACTTTTTACTATCTGCAGATGTTGTGTATAAGAGGTAGAGAGACTCCAGATGATGTCATTTGCCACATAGAGTGTTTCCTCTTTCCTCCCTTAAGAGTCGGGGTCGGGGTGGTGGTGAAGAATGATCATCTCAATCCAAAGATGGGTTGAGCTGAGTTGGGCCTGGTTTTCAATTTTTGCAGGACTCAACTGATCTCTGGTTTACCCCTATTCCTCATATGTGGAATTTGACTGAGAGCCTTGCAGGTCTCTGTATCCTAAGCCAGGGGAGGCTGTGGAGAGTCAGCTCTGCCCTTCAGAAGTTCCCAGCCCAGCTATCTGGACTTTGTCCTTACAGAGCTTCAAAATCTGGCAAATCTCATGAGGCAGGAGCTGACCTTGTTTTTGAGGCTGACCCTTTCTTCTTGTGAAGACTTTATTTTCTAAGCACTATGGGACATTGGAAGATTTCACTCTGCTTTTATATGCATTCTCAGGCCCAGAACTTAGCACATGTCATGTGGAGAAAATTGGTTGTCTTTTTAAGGCCCCTGATTTCCAATTTGTCATCCTAAAACTATGTGGCCACTAAAAGCTTTGCTGGTTTCTCTTGACTCCATTAGAAGTCTTCCTTCTGGGCAAAAATTGATCATTAGCCAGTGCCCCGAATTAGCAAATGTCCTAGGGGAGGGGAAAAGGAACAGCTGGTGAGCCTCATCTCATTTTGTCGCCGGAGAATTAGCCTGCCACAGCTTACCACGTCCTACCTCCAAGAGGAAATCGCTTAGGCTTTTGAAAATTAGAACTCTTTTCTTTTCAAATTATTATCCCTAGAATGTGTTTTCAAAATTATAAAGTAGACCTTTCTTTCTAAAGACCTTTCTAAATTTCTGTCATGTCACTACACTGAGGCTCTAGGTATGAAAATATGGTTCAATGTTTTTCACATTGTAGGTCACAACCCATGGGTAGGGCATGAAATCAATTTAGTAGGTTTTGCTAGCACTTTCTAATGAAACAGAACAGACTAGAATAGAATAGATCAGAGTACACTGCACACAGTAACAAGTATTGTTTCATGAAATTTTTGTTTCACTTGTGTGTGTGTGTGTGTACAGGTTTGCAATGTCAAATCTATTTGTTCCTGTGGGTTGCAGGCCAAAGTGTTTAAAAGTCACTGGACTTTATTTATTAATGGAGATACTAGGGATTGAACTCAGGACCTCACACATGCTAAGCATGAGTTCTACCACCGAGCTATACCCTGTCCCCTGGACTTTAGTTTAAACAGAGGAAGAACTAAAGTGAGAAAAACAAATGATCACAAACAAATGTTAGCTAAACATGGACCGCTTTGGGGAGAGGCTTGGCCATGAGAGGGAAGGGGATTGATTGAAAGCTGCTCTTTGGCCACAGAGAGCAAGAGGGAGCCCATGTAAAGGATGAAGCACAAGCATCAGTAACCACAAGCATCAGATAAGAGAATCTTGTGAGGCTTAGCTTCTAATGGGGCAGGGGCAGGTGTGGCGGGGACAGAGCAGGGATCCGGGAGAGCTAATGACGAGAAACAGTTGAACCTGGGTTGGTAAAAAACCACAACCCTGAGAGAAGACTGTAGCTCTTGACACTAGATCACGGGCAGCCCAGGGGAAGAAAGGCCTTGTACTTGGCACAAAAGAAAGATCAGCTGAGGGGATACACAGGCGTGTAGTGGGGCGAGGCTCTTCTGCGAACACATGGTTGCTCCAAAGTCAGCAAAAGATGAATTCCAGCCCCAGGCCTGAAGAGACTAGGACGGGGACAGGTGCTAGTGTTTTCTTCCCCTTCTCCCTGCTTTCTAGCACCAAACACACACACAACTGATCTGCCTGCCGAGGCCACCTGACGCGGGGAAAGAGTGGACCCTGATTCTCAGTCCGCTGGCGGGGGAGGGGGGCAGTTGGGCTTGTGGTCTCCTTCTGTCTAAGACAGCAAGTGACATCGTCTGCCTGGGGCATGGGGAGGCGTGTAGACCCATCACTGTGCCCTGTATCTGGCACAAGGTGAGTGTTCTGGAGCTCAGAGCTCCCTTAACCCCAGGGACCACACTGGGGGCAGGGAGTTCTGGAGGAAGTTTGTACCACCATGACCTGGCTAGCTCCAGGGCCTGAAGTCCACAGGGCCTCCTGAGGTTGCTCACTGAATCCCCCGATGCCAGCTGGGGTCTGCTCTGAGGCATGGTGCTCAGCCAGGCTTGGGCAGAGAGGCAGGCACAGGGGGTATTGTGGTGGACCAGGCTCCTTTGTTCTTGTCACTGGGCAGGGAAGCTCTACTCTCAGGCAGCCGAGCAGCCCTCATCCTTGGCCTATTCAACGAGCTGTATCCAGGTCCCCCGCCTGCCTTAGACCTCGGGGCCTGAAACTTGGGTCTGAGCCCTTCCTGGGTTCTGCCTCCCGTCTGGCCTTCCACCATGCCCCAAGCACTCCTGGTCAGCCCTGGTGACCTGCTGGAGTTTTTGGAAAGACTTCAGCTCAATCGGACCTCAGCCTGTCAGGGTTTCTCTCTCCCTTCTCAGCCTAGCTGATTGGTCCTTGTCTTTCAGGTCCTGGCTCAATCATCACCTCTCACAGAAAGCTTGCCCTGGCCACTCGCCCCTTCCCCGCACTGGGTTAGATGCCCTTCCTCCGGGCTCCCCCAGGCCCTGGTGTTTCTCAGTTCCATACCACTCACCCCTAGCCAGCGGTGCTCTGAATTTGCTGGGAGGCAGGACTTTGCACAGCACCACACATAGTAGGTGTTCTGGCAGTGTTTGCTGAACGGGTGAACTTTTCTCCCAGGCCTCACTTTTCTGTTCAGTGACCGTCATCTCTAAAACTCCTATCCGTCAGGGACTGAGCCCTGCTTTATTTCAGGGCTCAAAGAGCAGAGGAGGTAGCCCAAATGGGACACGCATCCAATGCGGGACTGAAGACCTCCGCCACAACCTGCAGGGTCTAATTTCGTTGTTAGAGAATCCCAGGTACCTGTGTGTGATTACTAGCTGGTTGAGTTCCATTTCTCAGGGAGACAGATTACTGAAGATTTGTGTATGAAAGTGGTGTAAAGACAAACCTTTGACTCTTGTGCAAACGTTGTCTCAGCTCAGACTGAGGGCAATGGTCTGGCCCCTAAGCCAGTCAAGGCTCAGGAGAGGATGTCTCTTGACCAAGGGGGCCCACAAGGGGCTGACAGACAGGCAGGACCACAGACTCCTGCCTGTCTCCCCCAAAAGCTGTGGGAAATGGAAGAGGGAGGAAGAGGCAGGTCCTAGGGCAAGACCAGCCAGTCAAGATGAACATCTGGCCCTCAAGCCCCCTTCTCAACCAGTTCTTTTACCCTCTACCAAGATGAGAGACACTTGATGGCACCCCAACCCCTCCCCCATGCCATGGGGACTCCAGGGGTCCAAGGAGCCTTCAGAACAGTGGGTGGGAACAGAATGCAGGGGGGCACAACTGTTCTCACCAAATCGCTGCATGAGTACCTGGGGTGCCAATAGAAACTGGCATCAGGTTGGAAACCCCAGCATGACATGAAGGACTCGAGGCAGCAAGGTTTCCTGAGACCTGGGGTGGTGGGTGATGCTCTCAAAATAACTAGGGAATGAGGTGTCAGGTTGGTCCAAGTCATCATCAAGGGCCACCTACAAAAAGAACACCCTCAAAAAGGACACTGATAATCAAAACTACAATGAGATACCACTTCTCACCCCCCAGGATGGCTATAATTAAAAAAAAAACAACAGGTGATAGGTGTTGGTGAGGACGTGGAGAGTGGAACCCTCATACATTGTTGGTCAGAATATAAAATAATGCAGCTGGTTTGGAAAACAGTTTGAGGTTTCCTCAAAATGTTAAACATAGTTAGCATATGACCCACAATTCTAATCCTAGGTATATATACCCAAGAGAAATGGAAACATATGTTCATACAAAGATTTGTACACGAATGTTCATAGCAGCTTTATTCATAATATCCCCAAAGTGCAAATCACCTACCTGTCCACCAGCTGATGAAAGATAAACAAAATGTGGTGTATCCACACAATGGAATAGCTGTTAGGTCCTGAAAAGGAGTGAAATATTGCTCATGCTGCAACGTGGAGGAACCTTAGAAACATCATGTGAAGTGAAGGAAGCTGGGTCACAAAAGACCACATGTATGACTCCACTTACATGAAATGTCCTGAGTAGGCAAATCCAAAGAGACAAAGAAGATTAGCGGTTTCCAGGGGCTGAGAGGAGGAGGGAATGGGGAGTGACGGCAAAGGGATTCGTTCTTTTCCTTTTAGGAGGGGGTGTTACAAAAATGTTCTGGGAATGGAATTAGACGGTTGCACGACTTTATATACTAAAACTTACTGAATTGTCCACTTTAAAAGATGGAATTTTTTGGTATGTGAATTATAGCTCAATTTTAAAATAAAGGGAAAATGACGCCGATGGAGAGGAGTTAGCGGAACTGAAACAGTGAAATGGATCACCCGTGTCGCCTGTCCCCATCGCCTCCATCTGAACGAACTTTAGCCCCAGGAACCCGGCACCAAGAGGCCTTGGGAGAAGCGACGCTGCGGGCTGGATCTAAGAAGAAACACAGCCCAAGATTCGAAGGGAACGCGATAAGGTGGCGGCCTGGGATCGCCTAGGACGGGGGAGGCGTCTGCAGGCTATGAAGTTGGCCGGGCCGGAGCGGAGATTTAAAGGCTGGAGCGCAGAGGCTCTTAAAGAGGCCAGGGCGAATTCCCATTCGGCGTCCACCTTAAAGCCAGCTCCGCGGCGCCAAGGGTCGGACCCGGGTAAGTGCGCGGGGCCGCGGGGGAGGCGGTGGCGCCGGCCTGGTTCCGTGGTTCGGCCCGCGCGCCCTGCCGGCTCCGGGGAGCTCAGCGCGGGTAGCTGGGACCTCGCGGGTCGTGCGTCCTGGGAGCCGGGGACCCGCGGGGGTGGCAGGGTCGCGGCGCCGGGCCCGCCCCCCCCTGCGCCCGCGGCGGCGGCGCTCTATTTTTAGCTGGCGCTGTTGCAATATAAG